TCTCTGAATTTTGTGGTGTGTTTGTAAAGTACTCTGATTTGCCCTTAGCAAAGTCAAGATTTGTTGTCCAGGTTGCCTGAAAGCACCTTGGGACCCTCAGATGTCTGTGTGGGTGTTGCCACCCGCTCACAGCCCTGTTAGGAAGATTAAATGAGGGTATATGCAGCCTGCTTGGTGTGTCCTAAACTTTCTGTGAAGAACAATGTATTATACATTGCTGTGGAATAAACTGTCACAGACTTAGCAACTTAAAGTAGACCACATTTCTGTGGACTGGGAATCTAGGTATGGCCTTGCTGATCCTCTGCTTCAGGGCCTCATACAAGCCTGTAGTAAGGTGTTAGCCAGGACGGAGTCTCATCTGAAGGCTTGGCTGTGGCAGGATCTGCTCCCAAGCTCACCTGGCTATCGGCAGAATTTCAGATACTCCAAAGATGTTGGGCCTCAGTTCTTCCCTGGTTGTTGGCTGGAGTCCCCTCCCAATTCCCTGCAGTGTCGGTCTCCCCAGCTTGCTTCATTATAGCCAGCAAGAAGTCAGTTGAGAGTCTGCTAGAAATGCCGATGTCACCCTCCTGTGTAACCTTACCATCCTCTACCATATCCTATTGGTTAAAAGTAAGTTCCCTACTCAAGGAGACGAGATTATACTGGAAGCCACATTAGAAGCTGTGTATGACAAGCCCACTTTAGGAAGAGAGTATAACATATGGTTAAGAGAGAAGCGTTCGGGCCGGGGATTTAGCTCAGAGATTTCACCGCCTGCTGCGCAAGCACAAGGACCCAAGTTCGATCCCCGGTAATTTAAAAAAAAAAAAGAGAGAGAGAGACAGAGAGAGAGAAGCTTAGAGCTAACTTCAAATTTCAGATCTACTGTTTACTAACTGGTTACCTGGCCTCTCTGAGCCCATCTCCCCATCTGTATGGCCCTTTCCCAGTAGGACTGTTGTTATCCTAAGTGAGAGATCACGTGTAAAGCCTTACAGAATGTTAAGCACTCCGTAAATGTCAGCTACCGGCTGTTCTTTTCATCCTTGCCTTTTATTATTATTATTTTTGGGCTTCTCTTAAAATACCATTAGACTTTTTAAATATCAAAAGAATAGCTAGAAAATCCCGCTACCCTCAGATTTGATTTTTCATGTGGAAATCCGAGTCCTATAGGTGGTTTCCTAGGCATGGAGCTACTGCCAGACTTGCTGCAGGGTCCTCCTGTTTGCTGAGGGCTTGGGACTGCAGAACAAAGGTCTTTATCCTCAGAAGAGCCATGGCTGCCTGCTATAGTGACCCCCAGCAGCTCCCATCCCTGGTCTGTGTGGAGCAGCCACTTCCCCTGCAGAGGGCCTGGCTGTGGTGACCAAGGGTGTGCTCAGCTGCCCACCGTGTCCTCCCATCCTTACATTTCTGGTTGGGGTATTGAGAGCAACCCGAGATGACTTCAGTCCATCCCTAGAGCTCAGAAGGTGGGCAGGGAAATGGAACCCTTCTGGCCTGCATGCACACCTTGACCTAAACCCTGTGGAGCAGACAGCAGGCCGCTTCCATGTGTACCTGGTGAGAGAGCTCTGCCATCTTCTCTTGTTCCCTGTCCCTCCTTCCCCTCCATTTCTCTCCACTTTGTTTTCCTCACTCCCTCCCTCGTGTAGGTTTCCCGGACAGATAATGCTTGCACATGGTTCCTGCTTGGCCACCAGAAGCTATCCTCCATGTCTACCCTCCTTCCTGACTACAGGACATCTGCCCTTTGCCCCTTCCCCCATCCTTTACATCCAGAGAGCCTGTTCTTGGTCCCACTGTCCCCTGCCCCACCGCAAAGCTGTGGGAGAACTTTCTGGGGTCGTGCGGTGTCATTCTGGAGGAGAGATGCTGGCTGTAGGGGCCACTTGCATTATTTTTCTGGATTGTTGTAATGTCTGATACATGAGTCCCCCCAACTTCTTTGAGGATATAAATCTGGTGCTCCTGAACCCCCACCCTGGAGAGCCAGTTTCAGGGGGCCTAGGAGAACTTATGTTTTCAGTGACTGCCCAGCTCCTTCCTGTCACAGAGGTTTAGGAAACACTGGCCAAGCATAGACTCAAGCCCTCTTCCTCACCAAAGGGAACAAGAGGGAGCTCTGAAAGCCTAAGCCCTGTCCCTGACCAGGGCTCCCCTTTGACCCAGGGACCTAGTTCAGTCTGTGCAACAGCGAGGCATAGATTTTTGTATAATTCTGTTCTCTGAGAATTTTCTGTAGTAATTGCCCTTTAAATCACTCCATCCTTTTACATATGCAGGAGAATACCACGTAGGAAACATTTTTTCATTGTGGTGGTGCTGTACTTAGATGAGTAGGAAAATGCGGTGCTGGGTTGAGAGTGGCACAGCTGGGGTTTTCCAGACTCCAGGCTTCCCCACACCACTTGATTGTGAGGCTCCTTCTGCCCTGCACACGCTCACCACCTCCTGGCCCTCTCTTGATGACAGATGTGGGGAATTACAGTGAGAATGTGCCATCCACATTTGCAGCTGCCACCCGGCCACTGGAAGAGTGTTGGTTCAGGACTGATTGGGTGGGTGAACTTGAGAGAAATGTCCTCGTACTCCACATCCCGGAATCACGTCCTGCTCCAGGGGACCTAGAAGGGAAGTTTCAGGGAGAAAGGAATACTGGTCTCTGGCAATTCTTTTGGTGTGCTGGCTTCTAGAAGTGGCTGTGCTAAAGTAACATTAGCAGCTTGCCCTTAGAGAAATGGTTAAGGTAGTTTTCTGCATTTCCCTATAGCCATGTGGATGTCCATGGTGCTATGCAGTATCCCTGGCAGGAGGCTCAAATGGTAAATTGCTTTCCTAGGAAAAAGTTTCTCCTTGAGAGCTTTCTTTCCAATAACAAATCTTCCACAATTGGGATGGGTTCAAAGATTGCTTTGCCTACAACTCTATCCAGAGACCAGAGCACTTAAAATTCACTTTTCCTTTTGATTTTTTGGTATCTATTTGAATGTCTTATTCTTTCATGTCATGTCTTTTGACATGTAAGTATTTAAAAAATTAAATTCTCCAAGCCAGATTTAAGCCGTTTGGTTTAATTTTATATCTCTAAAAAGTACTTATTGGATCTATAGCCTTTTATGAATTATGGGGTTATTTTTACACACTGGTGGCTTTTTTCTATTTTTATCTTATTTTGAACACAAAGATTTTTGAGACAGTTTGCCTATAGACTCCTTTCTTAAAAAATAGCCTGTGTTTCATTCTGTATTACTTTGTAAAGTAGATGCCTTAAAATATGACAGTGCAGTGAAATCCATTACTTTTTATTCACTTGCCTTATTTATTAATGTCTATTGCCAGAATCTAATTCTCCACTAAACAGAAAGAAACACAGATAATGTGCTAATTTAGTTAGTAAACAGGAAGAGTTTACAGCTGTGTGGGATGAAAACAGCAGCAGTAATATGAAGCAACAGTAGCAAATAGATGGTTTTGGTGAATTCTGTGTAAAACTCAAAAGGTTTTACATGAGAAGTCTACATAAAACTTCATGACTTGGTCAAATTGTAAAGTCCTTAAATGGTTTCACAAATACACTAATGAGATACCCATAAAGACATGAAATAATTCCATCATTCAAAAAATATTGCCAGCCGGCATGGTGATATGTGCCTGTAGTCCCAGATGTTCAGGAGGAGGAGGCAGGAGATGGTGAGTTCAAGGCCGGCCTGGGAAACCCAGTGAGATAAAAAAAGACATTATCTTTTTAAATAAAATCTTAAAATGATTGGGATGCAGTTCATTGCTCTCTGGGTTTAATCCCCAGTACTGGGGGGTGGGCTGTAAACTGGAGAAGTACCTAATAGAAATATAATATTTTAATAGTACATGTTTGTGATTATATAATAATTACATTCATCTTGGGGAATTGGTACATGTATATATCATATCTCTATCATTTTTACTCCCCTTTCCACTCCTTCCCCAGAGCCTCTTCCCATCTCCACAGAGTCTACCTACCTGTTTCCTACCATCTCTCTTTTATTTTACCCTTTACATTACTTATACACACTTACTTATATCTCATGTTAGAGGAGCCATGTAGTATTTAACTCTTTATGTCTGATTTATTTCACTTGGTATTATAGTCTCAAAATCCATCCATTTTCCTACAAATGACTCAAATTTATCATTCTTTATGGGTCAGTAGTACTCCACTGTGTATATATACCACTTTTTCTTTATCCATCCATTTGTTGACAGGGATATAGGCCACTTCCACGAGTTAGCTGTTGTGAGTTGTGCTGCTGTAAACATGAGTATGCACATACCATTGTAATATCATGACATCAACTCTTTTCAGGAAGATACTTGGAAGAGGATAACTGGGTCAAGTTGAATTTCTGTTATTCATTTTTTTTTGAGGACTCTCCATATTGATTTATCTCCACACTGATCTCTACATTGATTATAGAAATATAATATTAAGCTGCAAATGGATTATAAAACCTTAAAATTGTTAGGCCGGGGATTTAGCTCAGTGGTACCGCTTGCTGCCTGCCTTGCACTCAAGCACAAGGTCCCAAGTTCGATCTCTGATACCAAAAAAAACCCCTTAAAATTGTTGCAGAATCTCCCAAAATAAATTTGTTCCAAAATAAATTTGTTGCAAAATCCTAAAAGGGATTGATTCCAAAGTCCTAAGAATACCAGCAGGATGTCAGGAGAAGAATAGGACACTTGACAGGTGTGTAAAAACTCTCAGAAAAGGAGTTTCATTTTAAGCAAATTGCTCATTAGGCCCACTGCCCTGCAGCCTCAGGCGGTGACAGCTAAATGGAGTGCGATTTGCTGCAACTGCACACTGGTGTCTTTCTCCTTTTTTCCCTTTTCTTATTTCAATTGTCTCTGGCCTATGTATCTTTCGTGATAAGCTATCTAAAATCTTTTGGGGCAGTGGGTGGCCTAGAAATCATAAACTGTACATAAAGTCATGTTCTGTCGGCTCACATGCTCATCTCTTATTGCAGAGAACAGCCCATCTTCACCACCCGGGCGCATGTCTTCCAGATTGATCCCAGCACCAAGAAGAACTGGGTGCCTGCGAGCAAGCAGGCAGTCACCGTTTCCTACTTCTATGATGTCACAAGGAACAGCTACCGGATCATCAGTGTGGACGGAGCCAAGGTACCACCTTGGAATCTGACTTTTAACAGTCTCGCTTATTTTTCATCTAATATAATGTATTTGAAAAGTGAAGGGAAAAAGTTGAACCCCCCAAATCCCGCTGTGTTAACAGATAAGTTGTAATTATAATTATACATTTATGTTTGGTACCGGGGATCGAACTTGGGACTTTGTGCTTGCAAGGCAGGTGGCGGAACTTCTGAGCAACATCCCCAGCTATTGTAATTATAATTATAATGTCTGTATAATCACGTATGCTGGTTTTTCTTTTTCTTATCCTTTTTCTTTTTTGTTTTTGGAGTTAGACTCTGTAGCTGGCCTCAGACTTATGATTCTCCTGCCTCTCAGCCTCCCAAGTGCTAGGATTATAGTGTGTGCCACCATACCTGGCTTTTCCTGCTCTTTCTTTCTACTTGAAATCATGGCAAATGAGTAAAACAAAGATTTCCCTGTTATCACATTATCTTCATAACTAACACTTTAATACCCGCATTTAATTCCACCAAGGGTTTATAATGCTCTTAATTTCTCTCCTATGATTGGATGTTTAAGTGGCTTCCAGGTTTTTGCTACTATAGATAATGAACATTTTAGTGAACCACATGGCCTCAGTTGTCCATCCCATACCTATTGCTTGCTTTTGAGTATTTCCTCAGAACACATTCCTAGAAGAAATATTATAGGTCGTGATATTAACACTTTATAGTCTTGGATCATATTGCCAAATTGCTTTCAGAAAGAAGGGCGCTTTCTTCCGGCATGTACGAGAATGCCAGTTTACTGCACCCTTGCCAGCAGTGGATATTATATCTAGGCTCCTCCTGGTGTTTAATTAGACACAGGAGTCTAATTTTATTAAATGGCTTTGGAGTATTTCTTGAAATATTTTTTTCCCTGGTACTTTTATTATTGTGCTGTCTTTCTCCATATTTTTCCTGGTTTTTATGGGAGCAGATGAAAGGATGCCTGCAGAAGGATCACCAAGTCTTTTTCTAACAATAATAAACCTGCTTTGTGCCTTTCATCTGTGTTCATTCTGCTGGACATTTACACATGTTACCACCTGAAATTTAGTGTGCCTGCAGATAAAGTCTCCTATTTACCCTCTAAACCAGCTCTCTATTTTTATATCCCAGTTATTTGGCCCAAAAAACAAAATAAAACAAAGCAAAACAAAACACCATTATTCCTTCTTGTCAATCCACTCGGCCTTTGAATTGTCTCACATATATGCTGTCAGTTGTGTTTTAAGCCCCTAACTCCCATCCTGGTGCAGTCTTGCTTGGACTCTTGCAGTAACCTCCTTCTGCAAAGGGAGTAGAGGGCCCTGAGGCATGGCCAGGTAGGGGTGCACTTAGTCATTTAAATACTCTCACCAGCACTTGGGGATTGGGACTGGGGACAAGTCTCCTGCCTGGAAACTGGAATGCAGAGTACTGGATGTGGTCCTAGCACCACTGTAGCCCTGCTGGACCCATTCTTGACCTGGTGAGAAGCAGAAGTCACACCAGCAGCCCAGACCTAGACCAGGTCCCTTGCCTCTAGCTGTCCTGCAGCCCAATGGGTGTGGAGAAGACTCCGGAGTGCTAGCAGCTGTCACTGTGGCCTGGTGCCCTGCAGCTTGCCCTCTGTTCACCCAGTGGTGGGGTTCTAGCACCCCAGCCCCAGATTCCACCCTCTGCGTACTCTAGATGGAGCACCCTCTTTCCTGCAGACTGGAATAGCAGCCTATGGTGCTAACTTCTGCTCCCAGCACTGACCACAGTGTCTTTCCCAAAGTTCTTTTGTCTTTGCCCATCCCACCCCATCTCTGTATCTCTGTTCAGTCAGTGTGATTCTTCTTCTGTCCTTATTCCCGAGTATCGGTTTTGGTTTTATTTTCACACACACACACCACCACCCCAACCTAGGTCCCCACTCCCTGCCCAGCCACATGTCCTGGGTCTCATCAGGTGCCTAGAAAATGCTGTTGTAGGTTGACCACTTGGACATGGATGCCCCAGGGCTGGGGGAGTATGGTTCCCCATCATCATGTTGTACCATGTTCAGACAACTCTGCTTTTAGGCCTTTGATCTCAAATATTGATCCAAACTGAAATGATAGTTTAGCCTTTGAAGGCATCTGACCCATAGATTACATCTCTGTGACCTCAGGCAGTTCTTTTGGCCTAGCTCCATCAGATCCATGACCCTGGGCTGCTGCTGGCACTTCTGGACCAGCTGTTTGGAAGAAGAAGCCTCTCTGCCCCTTCCAAATGGAGTAGATGGGCTTCAGGAACAAGTTGCTGATATGGAAGCACCTGAAGGTCACACCAGACCCAGCTGCTATGTGAACTGAGGGCAGCCAGAAGAGCACAGGCCCCCAGGAGGGAAAAGTTGAAACCAACAGCTTTAGCAGCTGTCATTCCACACCAGGCACAATGAGTGAGCTCCTCTTCCCCATCCAAGCATTTGTCATGCTCTACTTGGGGAGGGACCCAGAGAAGGCCTCCCTTACTGCCAAGAGCAATTAGTGCTGCTCATCATAGGAAACACTAAAGGTCTCTTTTTTTCAGGGACAGTATTGGATGTGTCAGTTCCAACTACTGCCTAAAGACGTGAGCAAAAGTGAATGCTCAGCATCACCCAAGTTCTGGGGATTATGTGGATCCAGCTCTGGGAGGGGTGTTCTGTCAGCAGACTGTGAGCTCTTTTGTGGCTCATCGTTGGAGCCTCAACACCAACCCAAAATGAGCAACACCATGGATAGGAATGAGGGTGAACAGGTGACGAAGTCACGCCTGGCCACCTCCTCTCCAAGCCTGCACCAGGTGTGCATGTGCACAGGAGGACAGTGGGCAGGGGCAGGGGCAGGTCACTTGCGTCCTCATTCTCCTCTCACCTCCCTGGCTCCCATACTCCATTTTCCCTCCCTCCTCTCTCTGTCCCAGCCTCTGTACTCCTTCACCTGCTCCTGCCAAGGGGAAACTAAGGACTGAAGCCTTAGAACGGACTAGGGTTGGCCATGTGATTGAAGGGAAGTTTTTGGGGAGAATGCCCAACTCCATCATAAAGAAATTTCATTTCCCGAGCATTTGTTAATTGAGCCATTGCAGCATTTGATTTCCCTGCACTGTTGGCACGCTTTATAGTGCAAGTTAATCACTGTCATCCTTATGACAAACTGCCTGTGCCTGTGGACAAGACTTGCCTGAAGCAGGTGCTTCTTCTGGGTGCTCTGGATGACTCCGCTCCCCTTGGTTCACAGTTATTTATAGAATCGCAGAAAACCTCTATTGGAAGAGACCTTAGAGGTTGTTTTTTAAATATTTAGCAGTGCCCGCTGGGTTGCAAGTACTGCCTAATCATGATGGTTTGGAAGCTACAAACATCCCAAACCCTGGCTTGTTTGGTATTTACTTTTGAGAATGTAAAATTGCTTTCAGGAACACATTCATGGTCGCCTCTTCCACCCATCTTTGTAGTTTCCTGTTTTGAATAAATGTAGAGCGCCTGCTGTTAAGGGAGTGAGCGTTTGGAAAGTTCCCACCACACAGTAGGTTTTCCATGAATGTTGGTTTTCTTCCCTCTCTGTGACTAAAAATTAGAATCTATTAATAACTACCTTGGAATCAGGCAGCAATCTTTAATTGCTATAACCCAGTCCTACTCTCTGTGGAAAACTTCTAAACTCTTCCAACTTCTAACTTCCTGGACTGGGGAAAGTCCTCCCTGAAGAGGAATCCCATATCCTGTCTGCCTCTTTCATGAGCAAGTTCTTCCCAAGCCCAGAGCAGGTGTGACCAGAGGCTGGGGGAGCTTAGCTTTTTGCATCTTCAGCATAGCTCTTGGTGACAGGTGTTTTGTGTAACATTTTATGAAAACTTGGTTCCAGCAGTCTGCAGGAACTGGGTCTTTACCAGGGCGTCTTCTTTCCCTATGGAAGTTTCAGAGATAACTCACAAGAAAGGGTGGTGTATGCAGGAGTTGGGAGCCCATATTAACACCAGGATGTGCCAGGATCCCCCCCTCCACTTCAGTGTCTTCCCAGACTTTTCTTGCCCCTTCCCAGGAGGAGCAGTTCCCATCAGCTGAGTCACCTGCTGCGTTAGCACTCACCTGGGCCCTCAGTCTCCACTCCAGCCCTTGGCTCCCGGACTCCATTCTCCTTCCATCCCTCCTAGCTCATCCCAGCCTCTGTGTTCCTTCACCTGCTTCTCCTGCCTGAAGTCAGCCTTCCACAGCATGACATCCTCCACTAAGGACCCTCCCCTGCTCACCCACAGTCCCCTTGAGCCCCACCTGTTCTGTGAAACTGGAACCTGCGTGCCTAGCCACTCCCTCTGTGCATTGACTTTCCAGTGTCTCTGTGTACAGAAAGGGCACTGCCAGTTCTTTTCACAAGCTGCTGCTCACCCTGAGGATTAGCCTCCGTGAGAACTGTGTTAGAAGTTTGTGAACTTTGTTTTAAGCTCTTTATATGTACTGTTTAATGTCTAGTAAGAAAATGAACCCTCATGTGCCCCACGCTCAGTTAAAGAAGTATGTCCTTTGCCACTACAGAAGTTCCTGGACTTAGTGTAGCTACAACCTGGTAAAATCATCATGAGTTAAAGATACCATAATTCAGCAATGCCTTGAATACACAAAATGTACTGAAGACAAAACATGCTGAAGGTCCACTCAGCCAGAGGGCACTGTAGAGCATTCATGTAGTGATCATGTGGCACAGTGGGAGCCTGGGTGCTGTCACTGCCCACCATTGTGAGAGAGGGCCGTACTGCAAATCACTAGCTTGGGGAAAGACCAAAAAGCAAAATCTGAAGTGTAGTTTCTACAGAATGTGAATCACTTTCCCACCACAGTAAGGCTGAAGAATCTGAAGCGGAACCATCGCCAGGTGGGGGCCATTAGTACTTCAGAAGTCCCTTCATGGGCCTGTCTAATTATGTGCTCCTGCACCCACCCTTCAGGGCATTACCACTCTTGAAATGCACATGTCCCATTTGGTGAGTATATAATGGTAATCGTGGTGATGCGGTTTCCACATTTTGGGATGAGGATTCCAGGAACAGCACAGCACCGGAGCAGAGTTCCATCTTTCTTCCTCCTGGCTGACTTGTAGCTTGTGGGATCCTGTAGTTGTGTTTGGCAGATGCCCAGGCAACTTGATGCTGGTGACAGAGAATGGAACCAGTGCCAAACCAGGACCAAAGCAATTCCCCAGGAGCACAGGCTGACAGTAGGGAATGAAGAGGACAGTGCAACTCCCACTGCAAAATTCTAATGAGTCCCTGCAAGACCAGCATATTGTGTCCCTGCAGTGTATAGGCCCTTTGTCTATTCTAGGCCTGCAGTAGTGAGTGCACAGTGCAGTTGTGAGCATAGGAGGAATATCTTGGGGTTGAGGACAAAGCCATGGGACCCGGGAGACTGCAGAAAGCATAGGTTGGGATGAGTGAATGGACCTTCTCTTTGGAGACTGGAGAGAATCAGGTAGGGTGAATTTGATGGGACTCAAGTTATAAGATCAATTTTACTAGTAATGTGGAAAGTGCATTATCGTTATTACCACGGTAATGTCACCAAATGCAAAATACGTCAGACATACCAAGAGTTTGGGCAAGGAGCACGGATGAGGGAGAGTGAGCTTGGTGGGTGTAAGTTATTGGCTGTGGTCTGATAACCATAAATTGTGCTCCCAGGCCCCCCCCCCGCTATAGAAGGAGGAAGGAGATAGGCAGGTGGTTAGAGGTATGGAATCATTGCTTAGAGTGAGCACTGGGAGATGGAAGAGGCTTGGAGGGTAGCTGCAGCTTGAGAGCATACCAATTAGCTGGCTTAGCATATCTGAGCATGCTGCTTAATTGAAGTAAGCAAAAATCTTAGGAGAGATTCCATACTTCCCATAAACACAAAGACATGTCACTTGAGGCACATAGTAAATTGCATCTCTCAATTTCTACAGATTCAGCACTTTGCTTCCAAATAAGGTATATAGATTCTAGCAGGCTAGTCTTCCCTCTGACAAGTAGGAAAAGGGGGATAAATATGATTTAAAGGTATCAGAGAGCTATAGAAATGATGAAAACTAAAGAGGTGAAAAGTCCAGAAAGAGAGGAGCACTCAGAGATGAATTGGCAGCACTATCTGGGGACCATCGGCCAATTCTGGGTACATACTAAAGGCTGGGGCTTGGCTCCAGTAGAGAGATCCTGCTAGGGGAAAGAGACGTCACCAATGCATTTATTTAGTAGTGACACAGGGCTAAAGTGGCAAATTGGGGACTAGAGGGGTTTAAAACTGATGGCTGACTTTCCCCTCAAGACACTTGCTGAATTCCAGGTCAGTGGCAGAATGTAAAGAATCAGATTGCGCATTTCTGAGAGACAGAGCACAAATTTCTTCACATTTATAGTGCAGAGAAATCAAACAGGAGCTGAAGACAAAAATAATAAAGGCACAAAAGCCTTAGGGATGGTGGGAAATTGACGCTCAAACCTGCACACCCCTTTTCCTGGGCACTGACTCATTCTCAGAGCAGTTAGAGGCCTGACATCCAGGCTTGGTCCCCAGGAGAGGCTGCTGTGGGCTGACAGAAGCCAGCAGAGATTTTGGTAGAGCTTGAGGGGCAGAGTGGGAGATTAGAGTGGCTTCAGTCTCTCGACCAGTTTCCCCGTAAAGATTTGCTAAATCATGAAGATGGGTGGATTTGAAAGGCTGTAGAACTGAGCCCAAAGTTTCTCAAGGCCAATACTGAATCTCCACAGTCTTTTAGGGCAGAGGAGATAAAGACTTGTGAGGCTCTCAGTTGAAATCCCAAAGGGCCTGCCCTATGCATGGCGATTACCAGAGCTAAAACCCAGACTTGACCCAGCTCTGTTCCAGAGAAGTAGGGATCTCTTATCTACCTACCTTGCCTAGGAAAGAAAAAGGGAAACTTTCTCTGGTGGACAGTATGCCGTAAAATGTACTAAACATGCAAAAGGACAGTTCCTGTGCCTAGAGACAAGAAGGGAAAAACTAGGCAATAGAAACAGATTCAGATGTTAGAGTTTGCATGATGGATTTTAAAGTAATTATGATTAATATATTTAAGGAGATGGAGGGGGGAATGTGTAAAATAGATTAAGGAAGAATATCCTCAGGGACTTAGAATTTAATGTTTAAAATATCACATGGATATTCTAGAATTTAAAAATATGTCAGGAATTAAGAACTCAGTAGATAGATTTAGCAGCAGATTGGCTGCATTAATAGCCAAAATTCTTGAACTAGAAAACAGATCAGTAAAAAAAAAATACCAGAATTGAAGTACAGACAGCCAAGAACCAAGGGAAAAATAATTCATATAAAAGGCGTCGAATACCCTCATCAGATCTAGCTTCTGTGTAACTAGAGCCCTAAAAGGAGAGGTGAGGCAAGAGAGTGGAGCAGAAGCAATGTTCACAGAGAGTGTGGTTGAGAATTTCCTAAAAACTGATGATGAGCTCACACATTTCAGGAGCTAAATGAACCCCTAAGCAGGGGAATAGATTTTGCTTTTTAAATCAATTAACTTTTTCTTTGCTAATATATACATCATACCCTTTTTAGACATTTCCTAGTTTTATGATCTTGAACAAGTCACTTGACCTTGTTGAGCCTCAGTTCTTTCTGTAAAAATGAATTCTAAATAAAAGATTTTATGAAAAAGTACCTTGGAAACTGCTAGGTTGTAAAGAAAAACCAGTGTCGCTTTTATTCCAGGTTCACTGACTGAGCCTGTTTGGGGCAGGCTTGAGAGCTGTGTCCTATACTCTGCTCAGCCTCTCTCTGTTGTCATTCAGGGAGGTTGTATGTGTGTGAACGGGTCGGGGGAGGTGAAGGGATTCACTCACCTGGTGGCAGAGGTTTGCATTGAAGGCAGTATTAAGATTTGAAATGAATAGTTCTAGGCATTGCTTGGCCTTCCAGGATCCAAGTAATTGAGAGATAACCAGAGTGGGCTTTCTGGGATCATGTGATTCACTCTGATCCAGCTTCTAGCCACATGGCTTCCCTATGCCTGCTTTGCTTCTACTGTGTCAGTCTTGCCTGACCTGAGCCAAAATCCCATCAACCTCTAAGGTCTTAGAAGCAAACCCCTGACCCAGCCCGTGTTTAGATCTGTATTTTCCACACCTCATTCCCCTGCCTGCATTTCTTCATCATGTCTGGTGCCATCAGGCAGATCTCTTGACAGAGTGCTTGCTAGCTTTGTCTCTTTGGTTAGCAGAATGCCTGCCATATGGTAAATGCTTCATAAATGTTTGTTGAATGAATGAATGCTGGATATCATCCTTTTGGCTGACCTGCAATGATGTCAGTGTACTTCCAAGTCCTCTAACTTCTGGTTGGGTTTGGCCAGTGGAAAATGGGGATTGGAGAGGGAGGGGGGAGGTATTTGTTCCCCTGACTTCCCCTCCTGGGGTCACATTCTACCTGTCTCTCACCTGAGGGTCACCTTGGTTTTCAAGGCAGCCTGCTCTGCATGACCTTCCCCTTTCAGGACCTGAAGCCTCTCTCTCTCTCCCATCTTCCTTCAAGGCCAAGGAGTGGTGACAGTGAGTATCCCTTATAGCAGTGGTGGCGAACCTATGGCATGCAAGTTATTTTTCTTTTAAGACAAAAGAAAAAAGATGTTAATGTATGAGTTGTTTTTTTCTAAACTAAAACCTCAGTATTCAGATTTGATTGCAGTGTTGTACTTTGCAATAACTGAGTTTTGGGTTACAGTTTGGGCACTCGTGTCTAAAAGTTTCGCCATCATTGTCTTGTAGGGTCCTTACCCTGGTCACACCATATGATTAGTCTCTATAAGTCACCCTGCTACAAATTATCTTAATTAGAATACCTGCCTAGTTGAGCTGGACATGGAGCTGGAGTGACTGGAGAAGCTGTCAGATGCCATTCTGAGATCAGGTGCTGAGACTGGCCAAGTGTTCTGATGCATGGCAGCTTTGGGGCACTAAGTGGCCATTTTTGAAAGTGTTCTCTGCTCAGGAGAGACTTAGTGACTGACTGCTAACTGTCTGAAATTGCCCCTAGCCATGGTGTGCATGTGACTCAGTATGGGACACAGCAGAAGAACTTGGGACCAATAGTGACAGGCAGAGGAAATGGGCTGTGAGTGCTGGCTGTGCCGGCAGGAGATATTCTGAGGAGTGACAGTGGTGTCCAACTCAGTGTTCACATTTCTTCTCTGGACTGTTTTCTTCCAGGTGATCATAAACAGCACAATCACACCGAATATGACCTTCACCAAAACGTCACAGAAGTTTGGGCAGTGGGCTGACAGCAGAGCCAACACAGTGTTTGGTCTGGGCTTTTCCTCTGAGCAGCAGCTGACAAAGGTATGTAGTTCTCTCCACAATGTGGTCAGCACCACACTGGATGCCACCCTCATTCAGAAATTGCCTTTGAGGGATGGAGTGGTGCTCTTGGTGAGCAAGATTCCTTTCGGGCCTCCATTTCACCCTTCTGGCATTGCAGGGCTGCCAGAGCAGGTGCCTTTCCACAATACCAGGTTCTTTGGAGCAGCTGGTTGGGGAGGGAAAATTCATCTCTAACAAATGCTGCTTTGGGCCTTAGGCGGCAGCGTGGGGAAGCAACAAGGCCAGTGTGCCCCTCGTCAGGTATCAGCCCCTGCTCCCTGGGCCCAGCAGGTCAGTGTACACTCAGAGGGGCTGACCTGTTTGCCTAAATTGTGCTGACTAGCTTTTTAGGACCCATGTGAGAATAGAGTTATTGGAGTGTTGTTACCTTAGTACCCTTGATCCAGCCACAGTGTATCTTGATGGAGTAAGCTTGTCACGTCTTTTAAAGGATGGCATAGTTTATCTTTGACAGCCATCAGTACCAGTGACTGCAGCCCTCAGAGGGGGAGTCAGGTGATTAAGACTTGGAGTCCCCACACCCCTTTGAGTGCCACACAGTTGGGTTGGGAGGTGTCTGTTGCTTTATTTGATTCACAGCTTTGATTTGGTTCTCCAATGGTCTAGATGCCTGTGGATGGCTGGAAAGGTACTGAAGGGCAGAACATGATCGACCACAGACTTGGGGAAACTGAGGGAATACACTGCCCCTGGGCAGCCTCATGTAGCCATTTGAAGGAGATGGAAGCCTATTTTAGGAGAATAAATTTCCTTTTAGGTTGCTAGAGGAGCTCTAGTAGATAGTAAGAATATTTGGGGTGAAAGTAATACTGACTAGTTGACATGAAACAGGGATTTATTGCAGGATGTCAGTTTCTCAGAGAACCTCAGGAAGGGTTGAAAGTCCAGGCCTTGGGAAGGCTCAGAAGTCCAGAAGGACTGCCTGGACTCCTGGGCGAGTGTACACTGCCTTCCTGATCTGCCAACACTGTGGGTCTGTGGGTTAGAGATATAGTCCCTGTTCCTGAGGCCCTTTACAGAATCCCAGATTCTGGGGAGTTAACAGAGTTACCTGCTACAGATTCACCTGTTTGGTTCCCTGTGTGTACTAAAGACAACTTTCACAGATGGAGGACTTAGGTGAGCCAGGAAACCACCTGACAGGGCCTACTGGTCTGTCCATTCACTTGTCCAGTGAATGCATACGTGTATACACACACACATATGGACATATGTCAGCATACCCAGTCACAGGTGAGTTCCCTGATGGGGGCCTCACAGGTCCTCCTCTGCATCCCAGGTACTTCTATGAGGGCTATTCCCTTAAAAGCCTAGGAAGCTCACATCAGCCTGGTAACATTCTGAGCATCCTCTGCCACACTGTCCACTTGCAGAAGATTGTTTCCTGGCTGCTAAAATTCCCAGATCTCCATGGTCCAGAATTCAGGGCAGGAAGTAAAAGTGTGAGGGTAGGTCATTGAATGTTGTTATTGTTTGGCTCTAAAATGGCCGTGAAGCTGGGTGTGGTGGCACATGTCTGTAGTCCCAACACTCGGGAGGCTGAGGCAGGAGGATTGCAATGACTTTTAGGCCAGCCTGGACTACATAGTGAGACCCTGTCTTAAAAATCCCAAACAAACAAACAAAAAGAACCAGTAAAATGTCCCCCAGAGCCATGTGTGTTTAGAAAGTGATTGGATTATGCAGTTGCCATAGCTGACTTGCTCGTAGGCAGTAGGGTTTGAGCAGAAAAGGTGAGTCACTGTGGGCATGACCTAGAAGGGTGTATCTCCCTTCCCAGCTCCTAATTTGACTCCTATTGCTTCCTGGCAACCATGAGTTGAGTGATTTTTCCTCCACCATGTGCCTCTGCCATGCTGTCTTCTTGCCTTTGGAGCCAGCTGACTATAGACTGAAATGTGAGCCAAAAAAACCCTTCTCTTCCTTTAAGTTGCATGTGCCAGGTATTTTGTCCCAGTGACAAGGAAAGTGAGTATGACAGATTTTGGTACCAGAGAAGTGTGGTTGTTACCATGTAGTTCAGAGGTCTGGTTTGTGGGAGGCGTTAGGAAAGGGTTGGAGATGCCACCTGGAGAAGTCCTAGAATACTGTAAGCCAAGGAAGATTCTGTTCAGAGTTCAGAAGACCAGAATGCTGATCAAAAAGGCAAACAGTAAAGACCAGGCTCAGGAGATTTCAGTTGGGAACAAGGACGCCATTGGCAGTAGGACTTAAGACCATGTGTGTTATGCTCTGGCAGAACATCTGTCTACATTTTACTCTTGAGACTTTGCAGGAAACTGAGATTAAGGACAGCATACTAATTATTCTGGTAGTGGAAATTTTAAAGCAGCCCAATATTCAATCTGTAGTATGGATACTGCTTGCTGCTTTTAGCCAGGTTTATATTGAAAATCAGGAACATAAAGCCCATTTGAAAAGTTTTCAGTTTCCCCAGAAACAAAGGGCCTGCAAAGTTTTAGCCAAGAAGATTTTGCTTGCTAAAAAGATTAGCATTAAAAAGAAGCCCAAGTACATTACAGCAGGACAAAAGCAGTGTTACCTTTAGGGCATCCCAGGAAAATCAGCAAGACTCCATCCATTGCTTGCTCAAGAGTGCAAGGCTGTAAAACTCATTTGAGAAGAGAACCCCAGGGCACTATGATCAATAAGGGCCATCCTTGGTTTGCAGGATTTGTTTCACAGTTCTCAGTCATCCAGACATTCAGTGGCCACTGCAGCTGTGATTCAAAGATGCCCAGCTATTGCTTGAGCTGGCGGCAGACCTTGGCATCATCCATGTGGTGCTAGCTTTACAGGAATACAGAATGCATACAAGAGGGGGTCAGGGAGGCTTCTACTCAGGCTTCAGAAGAGGCCAGGCAGTATGCCTATGAGAGGGCAGTATGTGAAGATGTAAGAATGAAGCCAGAGTGCAATGGAGACCCCAGGAGATTGGAGAAACCAGGAATGTAGAAGATATGAGGAAAGGCACAAAGAGTGAGCATAGCCAGCCCAAGAGAGAAGCTTTAAGAACTGCAGCCACTAGCAGTGCTGTAGGGGCAGGGCTACCGAAGCCCTTTGGAGTACATTATCTCATCACCACAACGTGCCCTGGACATGGAACTACAGAATTTGTTGGCCCTACTTGGTTTCCACCTTGCTCTATCCAATTTCTATCTCCTTGTTCCTTCCTCCCTTTTGGAATTGGAAATTTTATCTTGTGTCATTGTATGTTGGAAATGTTTCACTTTCTTTCTGGTTTTTACAGGAGCTCACAGCTAAAAGTTTGCTTTGAGTCTCAGAGTAGACTTTGGACTTGGGCTTTCCAGCAGTGTTGGAACTGTTAGGATGTTGGCAGTCGTTAGAGATGGACTAACTGCATTTTCACAAGGAATGTGCATGAGTCTTTTGGGGGCTGGGGTGGAATGTTCTGGATTAGATCTAAAATGGCCCTCAAAGCTGTGTGTGTTTGAAAGGTAATTGTATCATGGGGTGCTATAGCTGACTTGCTGTTCAGTGGTGGGATCTGGTTGGAAGAGGCAGGCATGACTTGGAAAGGTGTATCTCCCTTCCCAATTCCTCCCTTGATTCCCTCTGCTTCCCAGCCACCATGAGGTGGCCACCTTTCCTCTACATGTCCCTCTGCCATGACATCTTGCCTTGGAGCCAGCGAACAATGGACAGAAACGTGGGCCAAAATAAACCCCTTCTCCTTTAAGTTGTGAGTGTCGGGTATTTTGTCCTAGCAATGAGAAAAGTGACTGAAACAGACATAATGATGGGAGATGTCCTCTCCTCCCTATTCCGGGTACCATGACCCTGGCAAGTGTGATACTCAGCAGCTCAGCAGAGCTCTTCGAGGCCTGCTGCTGCTGGCTGATAAGGGACTTTGAGGTCCTGAGAATTCTCTGGCAGCTGAGCTCTTGCTTCACTTTCACTACATTTGCAGAGAGATGAGTTCTCTGCAAACTCTCCTGTTTGAAGCAGCTTCGTGTGGTACAGGAAACGCAAGGGTGGGAGGCTGGCAGAGGCACAGCAGGTTGTAGGAAGATGAGTCACTGCTGCCCCTGGGAGAAGGGGCCCAGTGTAGTCAGCTGTCACTAGGAGCTGGGATGCTGGGAGGGAGGTTAGCTGTGTTGGCAGCTGGATCCAGCAAGGCCAGCGGTCAGGTGGCTCTGGCTCTGAGAGCAGGAGTGTTTTCAAGGCAGTGTTGTGGTTTGGCCAGTGTGACTATACGCCTTTGTGCCTGGTTTGAAAGATTCTTTTCCTGTGAAGGATAGCAATTTCTACCAAGCATTCATGTGGAACGTGACTGGTTCCATTTGGGCCCATTCACATTGCCAGTCTCTTTATCACTAAGCATCCAACTTTGTTTCTCCCTCAAAGGTTGGCCTAACCATTTCCCCAGGGTTCTGTGTAGACCCTGAGCCCAACCCACCTCTCCTGTGCACATGGCACAATGAGATGGGAGTCTCCCATTGTCACGGTCCTCAAGAAACCCAAGTAGCAGAACAGAGATATGGCACTGTGTGACATGTGAGGGAAGCTGTGACAGGTCATGGAGTGTCCCTGATTTGGGGGTAGGAATGCTGCTAGTGGCAGCCATTGGAAGGCTTCCTAGGTCATTCTGGAGAGTCTAGACTTTTATCCTCTGACCTGAGGAGGATTTTTAAGCCCAGAAGGAAAGTGATTAGATTTGCACTTTAGGTAGACATTTTTTTCCCCCTTTTTTGGCAGCTGGTCAGATTAGATTGTTTTAGTTCAGGGTAGCACTGATGCAGAATTAGAGAGATTTTAAGATGACGGAGCCAAATTGGCAGAACTTGGTGAGTGGATGAGGGAGGTAGAGACTCTGGGGTAGTGATGGGTAGAAGTGGTGACACCTTCTTCTGAGATGGATGCTGGGAGGGCAGAGTGAATCTGTGCAGAGTGGAAGCCAGTGTGATGGTGACTGAGGGAGGGAGTGGCCGGAACCT